TTTTTTTAAAGAAGACATGTGGTGTGGACTGTCGTGATTTTTTCTTCTTTATTTCAAAATTTCACGATGAGGCCTCATGGATGCCATAACGCTCCTCTTCGCCGTAGCACAAAAGCAAACTCACATAAGTAAAAGTTTGCATTTCACAAACAGCTTTTACCGATTTATCGATCTCATTGGAGCAAATTCGCGTTAACGAAACATACATAATTGCAGAGATGACAGTATTTATAATTTTTATTCAAAATCAGCGATGTAAGAATTACGATTTAGTATAAGAATCAGTACGAGAAACATTGTAAAACGTTATAAATAATAGCGAAATATATTTTTCTTAACTTTTTGACTTGCTGGTTTCAAAATCGGCGTTTTTTCTGAATCGGCGCAAATCGAGGGCTACCTGTATTTGCTTTTGTTACTGCGAAGAAAAAGTTCGCTCACCCCAGTCTGCCTACGAATCCTCGGTTTATAAATGGAAAATAAATTGCAACACCTTTAACCAAAGACCCTGCGTTGCTAATCAGATTGACGTATTGATTACTCTAATAAACCCAAAATATAACTCACGTAATAACGCTGCTCAAGGTAAAATAACTGAAAAGGCAGTAAAGGTTTTAAAATATGGTCTAATTACATCAAGTAGAAGAAATCGCGCGCGCTTAAGTTGAAAGTATAACATGCAAGGCATCCATTATGCAAAACTTTTCTTATCTTTTTACTGATATGTGTTGTGATTTCTCTGCTTACGTAGTATACAAGTAAATTGTAATTTGATAAAATAAACTTTTACATTTTAATTCTGTACCTCACAGTCACTCAAGGCAGCCAAAACTCTCATGCTATTCGAAATATTAGTTGGGACAAACTTCCAGCTTTGTGGATTTCTAATGTAATTCAGAGGAATTAGCTTCACATAAGTAAATTCCCGTAAAATTGTTATTTTGGCCCTACTCCATTAAATAAATTATAAAATTTTAACATTATAGCATTTATAAAGCTAGATTATACTTTCGTCACCAATAAAAACAAATGGGGGAGTGTACATAAAGCAGAATCCAGAATTCTAAAAGTTGTAATTTTATAATTTGCGATGGGCAAGACCCAAAGAAATAGTTGTACATAATTTTATGACCCATCATCAGAAACCTTCAAATTTCAACTACATTTCTGATTTTATTTACAGGAATTACCTCTTCATAAAACGAAATCTTTAATTCACTGAAAATAATCACTGCTTCATGCGAATAAATTCATATAAATTCGAATAATTTTGCTAGAACTAAGAAATTTTCTTCAAATAAATTTGAAATATTTCTATTTCTTACTTTTAATACCACATATCTTTAATATAGCCATCAGAATACAATTATAATTCGTAAATAATTAAATTAACACAGAACTACCTGTGAGAAATTTGATTTGTTGAGGTACGAACCGCTTTGTGACGTTACACGCCGTACATATTCAAAGCAACGTAACATGCCTGGTTTATAACACAGAAAAGGCTAATCACTTGTGGCAACTACCCACAGCGCGTGTGAAAAGGCTGTTCTTTGTTCGACGTCGACTAATGCCTACATGAACCATGCTTTTATTAATAGACGTGAGGTCAAAACACGTTATCAAGAGCCATTTTTAATAATCTCACCCCACAAGCTACAATTACTTGTTGCTTCATAACAGACTAACAAAAACTGAAAGCATGGACCGTTCTAAACCTCTATATTGCATAATATCTAACGTGACAACAAAATAAAACAACAACGTTTCTATTCATCGAATCGCCTTCAAAAATTGTAGATCGCGATGAAGCAAGATCATTGGATCGAACTTCAAAAGGCAACTGAAGGAAATATTCATCGCACCATCGACGAAGGAAAGAAATATAAAAAAGATAGAACAAATAGAGGGAGGGGAGATGTAACTGTTTAAAAGAAAATTAAGTTGCCTGCAGCCGGATGTTTAGGCTACATCCTGAACACAGGTGTGGGAGAAGTAGCCGCATGATTAAGGAAAACATTCCGGGTTCCTCTTAAATACAGACACCCAAAGACGGGAACACAGCCAAATCCCGAGACCCGAGAAAATGTGTGTATCAAATACTCCTCAAACAAATGACAATGTTAATAATAATTAACGCGAAAGCTATGAAGAGATCTTGAACAAGATTTTAAATGATAATTTCGTTTTACGTGATGCCAAATTTTAAAATGCTTTTGGGCAGTAGTTTTCTTATTCCACGGAGATAATTCTCTTTTGAAAATATAAGCCTGCCTTATGCGTCACAAGAAAACACTTCACTGCATAAAATACAATTAAATGGAAACAGTTTCTATTATTATTATTAAGATAATATTGTACATTTATGTTTTCAGTTCATTGTTTGTTTGCTTTTGTTTTGTAATGTTTGTATTGTTGTTAGTGCTTGGCTGTTATTGGCCTTTTTGGCTGTTGTCAAGCACTTTAATAAATGAATTGAATTGAATAACAGAAGGGTGTATATTGAAACGTAATGAATGTCAAAAAAGAATTAAGTGTAGTTTATATTATGTATTTGCGAGACGTTGAGATATCAGTCACCTGTAATACAGTTCGTTCACTGATAAAGTTGAACGCAAATGTAACTTCCTGGCTGCCGGTCAAGGTATTCCCGATACAAGTCAAGTATAGCTTTTTTTTTTTAAAAAAAAAAAAAGAGCTTACCCATATAATAGCAGTTTCCGTTGGGAACTGGGAAGAGACATTTGCGTTCAACTCTATCAGTGAACGTACTGTATTCATGGACTTTAATTTGAAGAAAATTGACACACATTATTATTTTGGTACTTCAATAATATCTAATGGGAAAGAAATCAAGATGAAAACACAAAGTTATATTCAGTTTGCAAGTTACAGATTTTCGAGGGCATGTCAGAATAAACACGAACTTAACTAATGTTAGATAAGTGGACAGTTCGGGTAAGCAACACATATTCGTACATCTGACACCACATGCATAAAAAATCGCTTGGTATGGCCGAGGTAAAAGTTGAAAACAATTTTGCTGGAAAAAGCATTCTTCACTGTTCCTTTCCGTGCTAGCTACTAATTTGTATGCAACAGCTATAGCATGAAACTCACTGAGACATGGGACGTAATTAGGTTATATCCTGCGTATATAACGTTATTTACCTGTAAAAAGTCTTATTTAAAAAAACTAATTATATAAAAAGCCTGGTCGAATAAAAATCGACTTTCACAAAATTTATGTCAGAGCTCAATTATGAGACCAACACAGAAATAACTGCACAGTATAAGAAGACCTTGTTATAAGTCGACTCTGAAATCCGTCGTCGATTTCCTTCATTCATCGATTTTTAATCACTTGGCATTCGTAAATGTGACTCACAGAGTCTTAGACGACATGCAGGACTTCCGTTGTTTCGCATGCCAGAAATAAACTGACAATTTTTCCTTATTTATTTACTTTTCGATAAAATGTGTGGTCATGACTGTACAGTCAATCAAAGAATGCTAGGAGGCCAAGTGTGGCAACAACTTTGGAAAAGAAATTTAAATTTATTGATGATTGTGAGGTTATAAAATGAGTGGTCAATAGAAATGTGGAAGTTGACTTTCGCTGCTACGAGAATTTTTCGCCGAAATGAAAAAGGCTGCAGTTCAACCAACAAAAGATTATTGTTTTCAATAATACAGATGATTCCCAGTCCCCAACTTCTGCACTTTAAATTTTATCAGCAAAATTATTAAAATATTATGAATTTTCTTAAAATTTAATTATATACATATATGTATGTAATTATCTAATAAACTGTTTTGAACTATTTTACAATTTTGTAATTATTTGAATCCACCCCCAAAAAAGAGTTTGATGTTCTATTACACAATTTCCCGGGAAGAAACTGCCATTTTAATAAAGGCTTAAATTCTTCTATAATCGCCGTTTGTTTATTCGTTGCAATTTGTATGAAACAAATTAATGACGTATATCGAGGGTTCACTATATTTGATAATCAAAAATGAAGTTGTGTGCTAAAAGACATAAAATGGACTTAATACCTTTAAAAGCTAATTTATTTTAAGGTTATAAATTACAGTACCTGCTGTTGTCGTAAACTGCCGTTCTGTTCAGAAATGTTCCAATATGGAGTATAGCCCCACAGAGAAATCAGTGTCGTGTGTCCATACATAAAATGTAGTGTGGGAATAATGAATAAGCAGTCACGGACCGCTTATAAGGAGAAGCTTGCAGGTTGGAACACAAGTTCTTCCTGTAAAAGAACAGAATTTTACATGATATAAAAATATCTTGGACATGAGACAGAGCTTTGTGAACACGGTAATGAACATTCAGATTATATACAAGGGGTAAATTCTATGTCCTGAGTAACAATTAGCTTCTCAATGACATTACGAATTTTTCAAGCACAGACCTGTAGTCACAAAGACCCAGATGAGTTGTATTACAATAAAATTAAGTATTACGTAGGACCCAATAGCTGAAACCGCCGTTAGACAAACTGCTCGCTTAACATGAATATGATAACGTAAGTAACCTTTAAACAATCAAAAATGAAAATGTCAGAATTGCTAGGAATATCAGAGGGGACGGAAGGGCTGAAAATAGTATGAAAATAATGTGCGGAGACTTTGGCAGTAAATGTTGTCTCAGTGATAAATTAATTTTTAAATATGGCGATGTATTTCTAAATTTGTCTTGCCTATTTTCCAAGACTTTCATCAGCAGGTTTTAGGCTTGAGGACACGTTTTATTAGCGAGATCCTATATAGTGTATAGACGACATTTTAATTTTAATTTAATTTCTTGGCTTTACTTTTCTGTTCAGTCATCGAGGAATTTTATTATATCATCATTATTAATGTATTTATTTTGTTACTTAATACCTGTTACAAACACAGACGTATGTCAAACAGCAAATATTATCTTAATCTAATATGGATTTTAAGAATTTCTGCACAATGAATATTTAGGAAACATGGAGATAAGAATACACTTTAATAAATATACAGCTTAGAACCGGTAATATTAAACTTACAGGCTACCGGTTTATTTATTAACTTATTTATTTATTCCTTACTGAGGGCCCAGCATGACTTTCGCCCCTGGGGACGGCTATTATTTCATATATGTTAATGTTATTCACCTTGTGTGATTAACAAAAATTTCAATAATTTGTTTCGCCATGTATCCTTTAAATAAAAGTAAAGCTGTCCCACTATACGCCATGTAGGCGCTTGGGGGGAGTGGAGGTATAGCTCCTACTCATTCTTGACCTCGGCACTAGATGGGTGTGAGTGGTCAGCATCACGCCCCGGCCGGATTTACCCCCGGAAAAGGACCCCGGTACCCATTGGATAGGAGGTTGGGTGGGCCCCAGAGCCGGTCTGGACGCAGAGGCTAGAGGAAAAATCCTCTGCCCCCGTCGGGGATCGAACCCCGGTCGCCAAGTCCGTAGTCAGTCACTATACCAACTGAGCTACGCCGGCTCATACCTTCGTATCCTTTAGATTGTCAAAATAAATTGTAAATGGGTTTAATCAAAGTCTAGTTAATTTTGAGCCTATAATCCATGCTGTATATTCAACGACTTTTCGAATTATCCTTAAACCTTCTTCCAAAGAAGCTACAATTAATCTTTCATTAGACACGTGCTCAGAGTAGGATCTGTTATGAAATTCAAATTAAGGCAATGGTATGGGATTACAGGTTCCTGCTGTGTCAACAGAAGAATCTAGCAGGAAGTGAGTGGATCGGCCTTATTGACAGTCGAACAGTTTACATCTGAGATAAAGTAAGGCAACTTAGCGAATTCAGGAGATAAGTTTCTGTCGTGAGGCCTATACTAATAACTTTTAATAATTTTAAGGGCATTTTTGTACAAAAATGTGGCAAATTAATAGCAATATCACTCTCAAGATCAACTTTTCAGCTTTCTTGATCTTCGTCTTATACCTGTCCTTACGTTTATCAGATACTGAGTGTGGATGTTAACCGCGTCTGACCAGCTAACACTCAAAAATGAAAAGTAAAAAGAATTTTATCTTAGTTTCATGGTCCAGTGACACTGTAACACAACAGAACCGATCATATAAAACGCATAATTAGTCAGCTCCAGCCAACCAGGTGTTGACAGTCGGCCAGTTTGATTACGCTCGTGGCGAGCACCTAGCTTGCTAACGATGCATTTCATCAGACGGATTCTGCAGTGTTACAGTGTCACTGATCCACTAATTTAGACAGAATAATTATATTCTTCCTTTTTCAAAATGTTAGCCGGGCCAATACGGTTAACATGAACGCTCCACACCTTGCTTACAATTTCATACCGTTTTTGAACCAAGGAACACCATTATTATGTGACAGGTTGAATTGTGTACCTGACGAGGCTGACAGCTTGCCAGAGGTAGTGCTAACTGTTGGTAGGTGTAACATCGCTGGGGAGGATAAAGCTGACAGGCCAGACAACGTAAGGGTTTGAAAGCCTTAAGGTGGTACAGTCACCATCAAAGAATTATAAAATCGTAGGATTTGAGATTTTCACGGCGGTGAGTCTGAATGTCGCTGTCTTCCGGGTTGTTGCGCCATGTAGTCTGGTAGAAGTTTACCGACGTTTCAGAGGTCTTTTCTACCTCCATCATCAGGGCTTGATGGCGGCAGCAAGGACCTCTGAAACGTCGATAAACTTCTACCAGACCACACGGCGCAACAACACAGAAGACAGCAATCTTTAATTATAAAATCCCAAATTGAAAATACATATGGTTGTCAGTCTCAAAACATACAACCATATTTTCATAAGTCAACTGAAAAGCAGTTTCTCTTCGTTAAAACAAAGGATCATTTGCCTGATTCATGTTGGGCATTGGGACTGTTACAAAATTTTCTTTAAAGAACTTGAAGCAACGTTTGCATTTATACTAAGTTTCTGTAGACACGACACCAAGTCCCTGTGAATTCCATTATATTTTTGGTATAGCTTACTTTAAATTAAAAGATTTGTTTTTTGTGTTCAAGACAGACAACTTTTTAACAAGCATCCACAAACCTCTGCCCCTTGTCAAGTGCTGTACTGTTAAATAATGAAGTAAAAGTTTCACCAAACATATACTTTGAAAGTTTCGCAATTTACTAACGTAACATGAAGGGCTGAATATTCCACAATATGAAAGAAGCTAGTGATTCAATTTGTAGTAGAGAACGTTATAGATACTATAGGCAACAACAGTCTTTATAAAAAAACGTTGTCAATTTATACAAAATCAATAATTAACAATGGTGGTAACGTATTCAGCAAACTTACGTAGAATACAAATATTTTAAAAAATACGTCGTTTTCAAAATATGCACGCCTCAGTGGAAATTACGTTCATGTAGGGAATTCAGACAAATATGAGCACTGGAAATAATATAAACACCGTTGGTTATTCTTACACCTGGGATCTGGTGGAATTTTATGGAGCAGCAAAACTGATGTAGCGTGGTGGAATGAGAACCTGATTTCTTTCGTGCTCAATTTTTTAAATATGGATCTAAATGTGTTCATTAATTGTAAGCGTTAATGTTACTTCGCTCGTATATTTAACTTACAGAACAATTAACTTGTGCTATTAGTCACGCTACCTTCAGACTAAATACCAAGTTTAAAGCAACGTGTACCTTTGGCTACAAGTGCGTGGTGGATTCAAGTTCAGTATCGCGATCTAGCAGTGTCACCACATTTTGAAATTAATATCAGCGATCCGGGTTAATATGATCACCCCTAGTGAAGGTAATATGAGAACGGTTTAGCATATGATTGTTATTTTGATGATTCAAATAAAAATTTTAAACGAGTCACTTATAATGCTGATGACATTCAGTAGCTTGTGATTTAGAGGGAAAGAATAATATTTTGAACTGTAGAAATACACGTAAAATATGTTTGTCTTATGAAACGTAAATAAAGCAGCCTCCAGCTATACTTAGATATGCACCTTCCAAATCGGTTATGCGTGTTTCTCGAATAAAATAAATAAATAATTTTTTAAAAAAATATTTAGTGATTTTGTAGACAATGCTCAAAATTCCCAAAGTCAAGGGTGACATGCGCAAAATGATGGGGGAGTTTGTTTTGTAATCCAAACGAGGCAAATTTAAGTCTACTGGTACATGAAGTAACTAAAGGACTTGGGTAAGAAACTGTCTTATCTGCATATTTATATATGAATTAACAATAGAAGTTTAGTTTTTTAACGTGTATTTAACTATGCTAACATTTGTCCCAGTTCTCCTATACACAGATAATTTAAATTATTGCATGGGGCCAAATTATACACAATATCCAGACAAAAATATTTCGAACGTAAGTTTGATAATTTGATATTTATACTTGTACACGTTGGGGTATAATTAATCATCTGTAAGAATTTGCGGGAGTATTCCAAGCACATTTCATGATCTCCTGGATGCAATTCTTACATCAGCTGAATCCTATATAGGAAGAAATATAAATATTACGTCAAGATTCGCTGCAGCCGTTCGGGTGATAAAATTTTCGGTGTCAATAAAATTCAGCAAATTTAAAATTACAATTCAACAACTGCTGCACGCTACTGGGCTGTTCAACGGTTCACAATAAATTCCTAAACCCCTATTTTATTTCTGAAAAATAAAAAGTAAATAAATCCAATTATTTCAAATGGGATAACTAACTATGTGCCAGCCATTTTCTAGAAAATCCATTAAGCTAGATTTTACCTTCATGTTAATTTAAATTATTTATTCGGACCAATATTAAATTTCCAATAAAATATAAACAAATTTCGTTGAGTAATTTTGGAAATAAAACACGCTTTTAGACTGACATTTACTCCGAATATTAACAAAGTTGTTAGTAGCAACACGGAACCATCATTTTCTACATTAACGCTGCAAATATTGGTAATGATTATGCGTACTCATTCTTTCCTGTTTAAAAAGTTACATTATAAAGTTGTTTCACTTATAAATTTTATATTTCTGCCTTGTCGAAGGAAAATTAATTTGGCCGTTCACAAAAATTTGCCCATCCCTGACTTGTGGAAAGGAAAGAAAGTCAAAAGAAAAAGAAAATGAAGAGGAAAAGGAAAAGGAAAAGGAAAGAAAATAGAAATGAAAAATAAAAAAATCGGAAAATACATTTTAACCACGAAGGCATTTAGAAATGTGATAGTAAGTGAAAGATGAGAAAACATGGAAAAGTAGAAATACAGGGAAAGGGAAATAAGAAAT